AGTGTTAATCTGCTGGAGGGCAGGAAGGCTCCGCAGAGATATCTGGACAGGCTGGATCAATGCACCAAGGTCAAGTGCCGGGTCCTGCACTTGGGTCACAACAACCCCATGCAACGCTGCAGGCTTGGGGAAGAGTGGCTGGAGAGCTGCCTGGCAGAAAGGGACCTGAGGGGACTGGTTGACAGCTGGCTGAATATGAGCCGGCAGTGTGCCCAGGTGGCCAAGAAGGCCAACAGCATCCTAGCCTACATCAGACATAGTGTGGCCAGCAGGAGTAGGGAAGTGATCGTGCCCCTGTCCTTGGCACTGGTGAGGCCGCACCTTGAATCCTGTGTTCAGTTTTGGGCCCCTCACTACAAGAAGGACGTTGAGGTGCTGGAGCGTGTCCAGAGAAGGGCAACAAAGCTGGTGAGGGGTCTGGAGCACAAATCTTATGAGGGGCGGCTGATGGAGCTGGGGTTGTTTAGTCTGGAGAAGAGGAGGCTGAGGGGAAACCTTACCGCTCTCTACAGCTGTCTGAAAGGGGGTTGTGGTGAGGTGGGTGTTGGTCTCTTCTCCCAAGTAACTAGTGATAGGAGGAGAGGAAATGGCCTCAAGTTGTGCCAGAGGAGGTTTAGACTAGATATTAGGAAAAATCTCTTTACTGAGAGAGTGGTCAAACATTGGAACAGGCTGCCCAGGGAGGTGGTGGAGTCATCATCATTGGAAGTGTTCATAAAACATGTAGATGTTTTTTGGGATTTGGGGGCATGGTGGTGTTGGGTTAACTCTTGGACTTGATGATCTTAAAGGTCTTTTCCAACCTTAAAGATTCTGTGATTCTGATTCTGTGAAAAGCTATAGCCTGATAAGAGGCATTTAATACCCAGAAATGGTAGAGCGTGAGAATACAACAGGAGCTAACTAGTTGGGTAACAGACTATACAAGAGAGGTAGAAGAAAGAAGAGAGTGTACGCACAGGTGGCTCAACAAACACAAGGAAGGAAGCATTGAATTCCTAGGTCAGTATTTAGGTGAATTTTTCAAATGTGCCTTAAGTCAGTGAAAAAAGATTAAAATTTTGTTCTAAAGTTCTTAGGAAAAAATGTATCTGCTTTAAAATTAATAGGATCATGAAGTGTGTGTCTATATAGTTACCCTGTTATCAAAAGCAGGTATTAATCATCTCAACATAAAAAGATACTGTGTTACTTAGAGTATTTGTGCTCTGTTCCTAAAGTGGGTTTTTTTATTAACTTCTAGGACCCTTCAAAGTTGTACAAGAAAGCTGGAGAAGTTGCAACAGTTGAATTACATATGGAAGAAGGTATACAAGTAGAAACAAATCCTTTATCTAAGAAAGTTACCCCCTTGCACTCTGAAATGACAGATTATATAAAGTCATCTCCTCCGACTCTTATCAGTAGCCATAATTCTGACTTAAAGGATAGAACACAAATTAATGGAGCAACAACTGTAACAGAAAAATTGGCTCAACTTATTGCAACTTGTCCTCCTTCAAAGTCTTCCAAAACAAAGCAGAAGAAGCCTGGAAATGGAACTGCATCTGGTTTGGTTAAAGACTCTGGGAAGAAGCTACCAGGAACCATAACTGCAAGTGGGTTAGTTAATAAAGATTTAATAAAGAAATTGCCAGGATCTGGTATTGCTGTTGGATTGGTTAACAAGGACTCAGGGAAGAAGCCATTAGGGATTGGTGGTGCAGCCATATTGCTTAACAAGGATTCTGGGAAGAAGCCACAAGGGATTGGCCCATTAATTGGATTGGTTAACAGGGACTCTGGAAAGAGGCCACCAGGTATCAGCACTCCAGCTGGGTTAGTTAACAAGGACTCTGGAAAGAAGCAGCCAGTGACCAGCTCTGCAGTTGGGTTAATCAGCAAGGATGTTGGGAGGAAACTTCCAGGTATCAGCACTCCAACTGGATTGACTAATAAGGAGTCTGTCAAGAAGCCAGTAGGAATTGGCACTCCAGCAGGATTGATTAACAAGGATGCTGGGAAGAAGTTGTTGGGAATAAATAGTCCTACAGGATTGGTTAACAAGGATTCTGGGAGAAAGATGCCGGGGACTGGCAATACGACAGTTCTGACTAACAAAGACTCTGGAAGGAAGACACCAGGGATTGGCAGCCCAGTGGGACCAGTAAACAAGGACTCTGGGAGGAAGATGCCAGGGATTAGCGGTCCAGTGGGATTGGTTAGTAAGGACTCTGGAAAGAAGCCAACAGGAATTGGCAGTCCGGTTGGTTTGGTTAACAAGGACTCTGGAACTCTGAAAGCGGACTGTCTTATGCCTGCCTCGGAGCCCTTTAAGCTTCCTTGCAATTCAAACCTCAGTAGCTTTGAAAGCCATGAGACTACAGATATACTGAAGGAAAATACTACTAGCAAAACATTTGAGAAGCATATTATGAGACAGAATAAAGAAAGTATCTTGGAAAAATTTTCAATTCGGAAAGAAATTGCTGATGTAGGCAAAGAGATGTTTAATGAAGGAATCTGCATTCCACAGGATAGTTACTCAACCAGTGAAAAAGGGATTTATGAAACATCTAAGCATGAAAAACAGCCTCCAGTATATTGCACTTCACCAGACTTCAGAACAGGAGGTGCTTCAGACGTATCGACGGCGAAGTCCCCATTCAGTGCAGTAGGAGAGGGAAATCTCCCATCACCTTCACCCACAGTGTCTGTTACCACCTTAAACAGGAGCCTCCCAACAACATCTTCACAGTTAGCATCTAACTCATTGCATTTAAGTTCCACAGCAGATCTCTTAGAAGGTATTTCAGATCAGATTGGTAAAACTCAGTTTTCTTCTGACAGTACACTTCTGAATATAAACAGAACATTGAACCATACTCTGAGCACTGATTTTAAAGGTGCTGATAAAGATTTAAATGATTCAAAAGAATCTTCAAAGCCTAGTCCTTCTACAGGGAAAAAGCCTATTTTGGCAGCTGAAACAAGCATTCATGCTACTGTCACCCCTTCAGTAGTTAGTTTTACAAGCTTGTTTAGTAGCAAGCAGTTCCTAAAGATTGGTGCAATAGCTGCATCGGATAAATCCTGCCAAGGAGCAAAAAATCTGAGCACTACTCAGCAATCAAAACCTTTAAAGAAAAGAAAAGGAAGGAAACCACGATGGACTAAAGTGGTGTCAAGAAATACATGTCGACCTCCGAAGGGTCTAGAACTAGAAAGGTCAGAGCTTTTTAAAAACATTTCATACAGTGCACTATCAAGCAGTAATTTGGAGCAGGCCAAATTCTTGAAAAACATAGGATCGTCTTCATTTGTGGAGCATGAGTTTGTGAAGCATCAGTTGCCAAAACTGAATGAAGCTAATGGACAGTCTCTTGCACTGTTAGCTGAGACTGACAAGCAAACTCAAAAGTTCTACAGTACTCACAAACAACCCTCTAGTTTGTGTATGTCAGATGATTTCTTACCTGACATGTATAAACCCAAAAGAGGAAGACCTAAATCCAAGGAGATGCCAGAGCTTGAAGGTCCCCCCAAAAGAACTCTAAAGATTCCGGCATCAAAAGTCTTTTCAGTACAGTCAAAAGAAGAGCAAGAACCTCCAATTTTGCAGCCTGAAGTAGAAATTCCTTCCTTAAACCAGAGCTTATCGGGACAACCTTTTCCTAAAAAGAGAGGGAGACCTAAAAGGCAGATCAGGTCGTCAATTAAAATGAAGCCACCTATTCTTTCTGTGGCACCTTTTGTTGGAACAGATAACTCAAGCAAGATAGAGTCTGAAAGCGATCAACATCGAAGTGGGGATTTTTTTGAGAGAAAGGACCAGCTCCGAGGGCCAGAAGAAGTCCAAAAACCTAGTATTTGTAGCATGACTGATTTGGAAGTAGACTCAGACAGGAAAGTTGCCAAGAGAAATAATGGACAGTTAATGAAAACAATTATTCGAAAAATAAATAAAATGAAAACTCTGAAGCGAAAGAAACTTTTGAATCAGATTCTGTCTAGTACAGTGGAACCAAATAACAAAGGGAAAGTGCAATCTAAACTCCACAATACAGTGTCAACTCTTGCTGCCACATTTGGTTCAAAATTAGGCCAGCAAATAAATGTCAGTAAGAAAGGAACAATTTATATAGGAAAAAGGAGAGGAAGGAAACCTAAAGCTGTCCTGAATGGTATTTTAACTAGCAGTTCTGCTAGCTTGACAGTTCTTGAGAAGTCTGCTCAACAAGCTCCTGGTACATCACTAGGACAAGTACTTCCCCATTTGCTGCCTTCAACAGCTAATAATTCCGAGGTTCTTCCATCTCCAGTTTGTTCCCAGTCATCTGCTGTGAGTGGGGGACAGAGCCCTGTTAGCAGCGATGCAGGATTTATTGAGCCCAGCTCGGTGCCATATTTACACATACACTCCAGACAAGGAAGTGTTGTTCAGACACTTGCAATGAAAAAAGCTGCTAAGGGAAGGAGGAGATTATCTCCACCTACGTTGTTGCCAAACTCTCCTTCTCACTTGAGTGAGCTGACATCACTGAAAGAAGCTACTCCTTCCCCAGTAAGTGAGTCTCACAGTGATGAGACAATTCCCAGTGACAGTGGAATAGGAACAGATAATAACAGTACTTCAGATAGAGCGGAGAAGTTTTGTGGGCAAAAGAAGAAAAGGCATTCGTTTGATCATGTTTCCCTTATTCCACCCGAAACTTCCACCGTTTTAAGTAATCTAAAAGAAAAGCATAAACACAAATGTAAGCGCCGCAATCACGATTACCTTAGTTATGACAAAATGAAGAGACAGAAGCGAAAAAGGAAAAAGAAGTATCCTCAGCTTCGAGGTAGGCAGGACCCAGATTTCCTCGCTGAATTAGAAGAATTAATAAGTCGATTGAGTGAAATTAGAATAACCCACAGAAGTCATCATTTTATACCCCGAGATTTACTGCCTACCATTTTTAGGATAAATTTCAATAGTTTCTATACCCATCCTACTTTTCCTTTAGATCCTTTGCACTACATTAGAAAACCCGATTTAAAGAAAAAGAGAGGCAGGCCTCCAAAAATGCGGGAGGCTATGGCAGAAATGCCTTTTATGCATAGTCTCAGCTTTCCGCTCTCCAGTACTGGGTTCTACCCCTCTTATGGCATGCCTTATTCTCCTTCTCCCCTTGCAGCTGCTCCCATAGGCTTAGGTTATTACGGAAGGTACCCTCCAACTCTTTATCCTCCTCCGCCTTCTCCTTCTTTTACTACCCCCCTGCCACCACCTTCCTACATGCATACAGGCCATTTGCTTCTCAATCCCACCAAATATCACAAGAAGAAGCATAAACTTTTACGCCAGGAGGCTTTCCTCACAACAGGTAGGACTCCGCTTTTGTCAATGAGCACATACCCCAGTGTTCCACCTGAAATGGCTTATGGCTGGATGCTCGAACATAAGCATAGACATCGCCACAAACACAGAGAACATCGTTCTTCTGAACAACCGCAGGTGTCCATGGACAGTATAACAGCTAATAGCTCTTCTAGAACAGTTCTGGAGTCCTTGAAGCGCTACAGATTTGGAAAGGAGGCTGTTGGTGAGAGGTACAAACATAAGGAGAAACACAGATGTCACATGTCTTGTCCACATCTGTCACCCTCAAAGGGTTTGCTAAGCAGAGATGAACAGTGGGTCAGGAGAGAGCCTTCGGAGTCTAATTCGTTAGCACTGGGGTTGCAGACACCGCTACAGATAGACTGTTCAGAAAATTCCCCAGGTCTGTCCCTGGGGGGATTTACTCCAAGCTCTGAGCCAGCCAGCAACGATGAACATACAAATCTTTTCACAAGTGCAATAGGCAGCTGCAGAGTCACAAACTCTACCAGCACCAATGGACGTAAAAAATTAACCGACAGCCCTGGACTCTTCAGTGCACAAGACACCTCATTAGGTCGACCTCTCAGAAAGGAGCCATTGCCTTCTATTGAAAAGGCACTACAGCCACTGTCAGGTAAGAGAGCTCTAATTGTGCGTACTTTCCTATGAGTCTTGCTATTTTATGTTGTACCGGACATGGTAGAAAAGGAGGGCAATTTTTGCTTTGGTTTTGTAGGACTCTTTCTGTGTCTCATTTCAGTACTACTCTTGCATTCACTCTTGTGCGTCTTTATGCTGTTAAAGCACTGTTCTTTGCAGCATTTGGTACAGACTAACATGGTGTCTCCCTCAGAGCTGCGCATGGGATTGTATAAGTACCTCTTCCCACCAGATTTTTCTTGCTTTATTGTAGAAGTTATGCTAAGGATGCTTTCTCATGAAACAGTCTTTTCTTTTTCCTTACAATTTTAACTTTCTGGAGGCATCAGTTAAAATTTCTCGTGATTTTTGATACTTTAAAAGCCATGTTTCTGTTTGCTTTGAGGTTTGGTTGATCTGGTTTAGACTGGCTATTGGTACCACTGTAGAGAATAACATTTCTATTTAAGAGAATGTTTCCTTTTTCTGTTGTAACTCTATTTTAGTTACTTTGATAATCTCGACTTCAGTATAGCTTTTGAACTTGAGGCCTCTAGCAGTACCTCAGAACAGTTGCTAAATGATGCTGGGAATGCCTAAGAGCAAACCTTGTAATGACTGCTTTATTCATAGTTAGGAAACTCAGCTTACATAGCCTCGAGCAATACTGAAAGAGAACTAGCTGAGTCTGTATACACAGAAAATTGCAATGACAATTGCAATGATGCTGTCAGAGGGTTGCAGCTTAAGGAAAAGACCTCTACTCTGAAATTGTGAACTTTGTCGTTTGCATAATATTAAGGAAAAAAAAGTCTAATGTGAAATCTAGGACTTGAAGAAACTATCCCTAGTGGCTTAAGTGTCACTTCATATTGTACTTCATTATCACAGGTATGTGTGGGAATAATTTTCACATTTTATCCACTTCGTCCTAATTGCCATGGACACATTAGATAGACCATATAATGAAGATAACCTGCTAAAGACAAAAATGTGGCTTGTGCTCTTACTTCTGATGTGTAAAGGAAGTCTGATAGCTTCTCCTGACTCTCCAGTACTTACTTACACTCTCCCTTGAAATTTAAATCCTTTGTTCAAAAACACTTGTGACTAATATTTCACAGAACAAAAGCCAAGAAAACAACCAGTAGTGAATAATACCTCCTCACATTCCTTACTCTCATCTTCCTCCTTTTCTTGTGATACTCCTATTCTGATGCCTCCTGCCACGTCCCTTCTCTGACTACGTGTGTATGGAAGGGTTTTTTTCTCTTTGTTTTATTTTGGCATTTGCAGGTTTTATGTGTTGCTTCTTTATTTTAAGGGCAGTTGGAAGTGGCTGAGTTCTTTTACAAGTTCATATTACTTCATACTATTTCATATTACTAAAACTACTCAAGGGAGCGGGGAGGGACAAGAGAAAGCAATAAAGCTATGAGGTTGCTCCTGCAGGGATGGAAGGAAAAATTCAAAATGCTAGGTCACCAAAAGGGATAAATTTGGCTCCGAGGAGTGGAGAATTGGTTGTGGTAGCTCATGGAGTTCTGGGAATTTCATGAGAATTTCTGTTACAGTGAATGATCTGACTTGGATTTTTATGAGGAGCAACCTAATTAAGGGAAAAAGCAGAGATGTTTTATGCTGAAACCTGCTCCTGAAGGCTCTGAATCACTCTCCCTCTTGCAATATGTTTGACTGGTTCCTCAGATGCCATGTATCACTTTTAATAAGTGTATTTGCCTCAGTGGTAGCCAGCTGGTTTTATTGTGAGACTGGCTTTCAGCTCAGTATTCATTCACAATGAATTCACAACTCATTCACAAGGAGCTCCTAATGCCCCACATCATGTGCATGCAGTATATCAGAAAACTTAAAACTGCGTCTCATAAAAAGCCCCAGTAAAGTAAAAAGGTTGGCTTTTTTTTTTTTTAGATCAGTGTCATCGCATGTTGTGTTTTGTTTTTAACTGTAGTGCTGAATTGTGATTCATGTAATACTTACATGGTTTTATGCACTTCAGAGGATAGCACAGATGGAGAAAAAAAACTGTGGTGCATTAAAGATTGTTTACTTATTAAACCAGATGCAATTTAGGTGCATGGTGGAGAGAACATGGAATCAGAGTAGTTAAAATGAGCAGAGACCAGCATTGGGGAATGCTGTCTAAAATTGTTCTGCATGATCCATAGGGCGTATTCATGATATTTTATTTCGAAGTATCCCATATGGAAAATATGCTTCCTTTTTGTAGACTTTTAAATGTAAACCTTGTCTGGTTGAATTAACCGACAGATTCATTCCATCATATTAGCTGATGCTAGGTATTTTCAGAGATTGCCTGTATCCAAGTTCTATTAGAAACATGCACGTTTTGGCAAATAGGACACTAGTGAAGGTTGGTATTTCACAGAAGATAAAGTTTAGATAGAAGTTTACGTGCTATAGGCTTTTTGTTTAATACAGACAGGACGTACACACAGTTATGCCAGTAAAGGTCAGGAGGATCTACCATTTTGTCTCTTAAAATTTTTGTAGGACACCATTACCTGTTCATCTGAAGTTCACAGTGGTCTTTAGGAAACTTCTGCAGCTTCACACGATGCGCTATTTCAAACAGCTGATAGCTTATCATAAGCTGGTCTTGATGTGCTGCTCACAGTTCCTGGAAGGAAAGGGAGAGAAAAACAAAATGAGCCATTCAGTGAGGATCAGTGCAGTTGAAAAGTCTTCACTGCCTTCATTCCCTCTAAAAATAAAAGGACAGGTTTGAGGCATTCTGATGGGAAGATGAAAGGAGTTTGCCTTTCTGTGCGTTTGAGAGCCTGCGCGTTCAGACAGGAAAAACCTGCTTTGTCAAGTACGAGCATGGTGCATCTGGACTGCAAACCCTGCCATTCCATGCAGTGCATTAGTGTCCATAGGCGCATCCGCACATACCTGCCCCGAGGTACCTGCCCTTGTCAACTGTATGAGGTT